GGAAAGCCAAACTATGAAAAGCAGAGCAAAAATGATACTGTTTGACCTTCCAAATCTGCCTGTATGAAAACTAGCCCCTTTCTTTGACGTTCCTAGTTACAGGAGCCAAATACATTTCCTTTTTTTTTTTTTTTTTTAAATGAGTCTCCTGGGGTATCCTGACATGCAGCCCTCTTCTCCCTCCATGTCCTGTAGTGAAATTCATATGGCTGGATCATATGGTATTTCTATTTCCAGCTTTTTAAAGAAATGCTGTATCATTTTCCACAGTCATTGCACCATTTTAAATATATGCAGCAACGCAGCATACATTTTGGGGGACACATTTTAATCCATTAAACCAAGTCCCCAGGAGATGGAAAACCTCCTTTGGCAGAGGAAGAAGGGAGAAAAAACTCACAGAAACTGTCCCACTCTGCAGGGGGAAAGGAAGCTCCAGACAAAGTCCAGAAGGCCACTGGATGTGCACATGGACCTACATGAAAATAAAAATGGTCTTTCCAATGAAAAGGAAGGTGCCTGGCATTTTCCACACGCAGTAAGAAAGTAATGTTTTGCATTTGCTGAACTCCTACTACATTATGTGGCTATTATATCAGGGCCCAGGACTGACCACAGGTTCATTAATTAATCCTCACAACAATCACTATCATCCCCATGTCACAGAGGAGGAAGCTGGCTCAGTGAGGACAGGAAACTTGGCCCAGGTGACATCCCCACAGATGAGAATTCAAAATCCAGGTCTGCTGGGTCACAGCCCTGTCTGTTTTTCTGGCATCTCCTGACATGCAGCCCTTTTCTCCCTTGATGTCCTGTAGTAAAATCCATATGGCTAAGACTGAGCAAAGGACCCCAGGTAGCACAATGGTTAAGCGCTCCAATGTTAACCAAAAGTTCGGTGGTTCAAACCCACCAGCAACTCCATGAGGGAAGAGATCTGATCTGCTCCTATAAAAAGCTCCTATAAAGATTGTTATTCTTGTTACCAAAAAACCAAACCCACTGCCATTGAGTTGATTCTGACTCATAGTGACCCCCATTGGGTTTCTAAGGCAGTAAATCTTTAAGAAAGTAGATTGCCTGGTCTTCCTTCCACGGAGCGGCTGATGGGTAGTCAAATTCCTTAGGCACTATGCCATCAGAGCTCCTTGTTATTCGTGTTAAGCAAAAAACCAAACACACTGCTGTCGAGTTGGATCCAACTCAAAGGGACCCCTCCATAGGTTTCTGAGGCAGTATCATTACGGAAGTAGATTGCCCAATCTTCCTTCTGAGGATTTGAACCACCAGCCTTCTGGTTAGCAGTCAAATGCCTTAGGCATTATGCCACCAGAGCTCCCTGTTATTCATGTTGTTGTTATTCATTTTAGGTACCATCAAATCAGTTTTGCCTCATAGCAACCCTATGTTCAACCCTATATTCCAAAGAACAAAACACTGCTGGGTCCTACACCATCCTCCCAATCCTTGCTATATTTGAGCCCATCATTGCAGCCACTGTGTCAATCTGTCCCATTGAAGGTCTTCCCCTTCTTCACTCACCCTCTACTTTACCAAGCATAATATCCTTCTCCACAGACTGGTCTCTCTTGACCAAAGTATGAGAGATGAAGTGTGGCTGGTTTTACTTCTAAGGAGCATTGCAACTGTACTTTTCAAGGAATATTTGTTCATTCTTGTGGCAGTCCATAGTCTTTTCAATATTCTTCACTAACACCATCATTCAAAGGCATCAATTCTTTATTCTTCCAGCTTTCACATGCATATGAGACAATTGAAAATATCATTGCTTGGGTTAGGCACACCTGAGTCTTCAAAGTGACATATTTGCTCTTTAACACTTTAGAGAGGTTTTTTGCAACAGATTTGCCCAGTGCAATACCTTGTCTGATTTCTTGACTGCTGCTTCCATGGGCATTGATTGTGGATCCAAATAAGATAAATCTCTGGCAACCTCTTTTCTCTGTTTATCATGATGTTGCTTATTGGTCCAGTTGTGAGGATTTTTGTTTTCTTTATGTTGACATATAACCTATACTGAAGGCTGTAGTCTTTGATCTTCATCAGTGTTTCAAGTCTTCCTCACTTTCAATAAGCAGGGTTGTGTCATGTGCACATCACGGGTTGTTAACGAGTCTTCTTCCAATCCTGATGTTGCATTTTTTTCATGTAATTCACCTTCTCAGATTATTTGCTCAACATACAGATTGAGTTAAGTATGGTAAAAGGATACAACCCTGACACAGACCCTTCCTGATTTTAAACCATACAATATCCCTTTGTTCTGTCTGAATGACTCCCTCTTCATGTACAGGTTCTTCATGAGCAAAATTAAGTGTTATGGAATTTCCATTCTTCCCAATATAATCCTGCAGTGTAGTAAATTACTTAGTGTGGCTTTTCTACCCATAAGTCTTTGTAAACTCCAAGGTGGGATTTTCTATGAGCAACTGAGGAGCTCCTGATTGCTGAAGCTATCCACCTGGGTTATTTCTGTTGGACGTGGCACAATACAATGTTCTGGGAGGTTCCCACTCTCTCTCACATGCTTAGAGTTCTGATGCTGTGATTGGCTAGTTTGACCACCCTGCTGGGCTCAAAAGGAGGCCTCCTGGAGGTAGAACTCTCTCTGACTGCTGGTTGAGGAAGACGTGCTGCCGAAAGAGACACGCATCCCTGAAAGAGACACACGTTGCTGGGAAAGAGATGCAAGAGACACACATTGCTGAGTGAGATACCGAGGGACCAGCACTGCTGGGAAAGAGACTGTGAGAAACTGTTGGCTGAGGGACGGTGGGCTGGGAGAGAGCCTGAGCATTTTTCCTGAACCTGAATTGTAGCCTGTGGTGCTTCCCTAATAAACCCCATAATCTGTGAGCTGTGTGTGGCCACTGCAGTGAATTATCGAACCCAGGAGAGAGGTGGTGGGTACTTTGGGAGGAACAGTTGGAGCAAGGGCTGGAAGGGGGAGGCAGCATGTCTGGCCTGGCAGGAATAGGCCTTGGGTTACTGCTGGTAATCCTGTCTTCCTCTTGCAGGGTTAGAGGAAGTCAGAATATGTGGCCTCCTCACCATTTTTGCAAATCCATAATTTGGTATGATCCACACAGCCAAATGCCTTTGTACAGTCAATAAAACACCAGTAAACATCTTTCTGGTATTCTTGGCTTTTAGCCAAGATCCATCTGCCATCAGCAGTGAGATCCCTCATCATATGACCTCTTCTAAATCCGGCTTGAATTTCTGCCAGTTCTCTGACAATATACTTCTATAACTGTTTTTGGATTATCTGTAACAAAATTTTACCTGTGTGTGATGTTAATGATATTGTTTGATCATTTCCACATTCTGTTGGATCACCTTTCTTTGGAATGAACACAAATATGATTCTCTTCCAGTTAGTTGGCCAGGTATCTGTCTTTCAAATTTCTTGGCATAAACAAATGAGTGATTCCAGGGCTGCATCCATTTGTTGAAGCATCTCTATGGGTATTCCATCCATTTCTGGAGGCTTGTTTTTGCCAATTACTTCAGTACAGTTTAGACTTCTTCCTTCAATACCATTGGTTCTTGATCATATGCTACATTCTGAAATGATTGAACCAATTCTTTTTGGTACAGTGACTCAGTGTACTCCTTCCATTTTCCTGTGATGTTTGCTGCATTGTTCAGTATCTTGTCCATACAATCTTTCAATATTGCATCTTGAAGCTTGGATGTTCTCTTCAGTCCTTTCAGCCTGAGAAATGCTGAGTGTTTTATTCCCTTTTTATTTCCTAACTCCAGGTCTTTGTACATTTATCGCACTCTACTTTGTCCTCTTAAGCTGCCTTTTGAAATCCTCTGTTCAGCCTTTTTGTTACCATTTCTTCTGTTTGCTTTAGCTACTTTCCATTCAAAAACAAGTGTCAGAGTCTCTTCTGAGACCGATTTTGGTATTTTCTTTCTTTCCTGTCTTTTTAATGACTTTTTGCTTTCTTCACGTATGACATCCTTGATGTCACCCCACAGCTTGTCTGTTCTTTGATCATTGGTATTCAATGCATCAACTCTATTCTTCAGAGGGTTTCTACATTCAGGTGGGATATACTCAAGGTTATATTTTGGCTCTTGTTGGCTTATTTTAATTTTCTTCTGCTTTTACTGCTTCTTGCATATGAGCACCTGATGTTATGTTTCATAGTCAGCTCTTGGCCTTGTTTTGACTAATGACATTGAGCTTCTCCCTTATCTCTTTCCACAGATGTAGTCAATTTCATTCCTGTGTTTTCCATCTGGTGAAGTCCACATGTATAGCCACAGTTCATGTTGTTGATAAAACGCATTTACAATGAATAATTTGCTGGCCTTGTAAAATTCTATCACGCAATCTCTGGTGTTATTTCTATCACCAAGGCCATATTTTGTAGCTACCCATGCTTCTTGTTTCCACTTTTCACATTCCTATCACCGGTAATTATCAATGAACGTTGACTGCATGCTTGGTCAATTTTAGATTGCAGAGATTGGTAAAAATCTTCAATTTTTTCATCTTTTGCTTTAGTTGTTGGTGCAAAAATATGAATAATAGTAGTATTAACTGGTCTTCTTTGTAGGTGCATGGTTATTATTCTGAAAAGATTACTGCCTTAGAAACCATATAGGGCAGTTCTACTCTATGATATAGGGTCACTATGAGTTGGAATTAACTGGCGCCACACAACAAAATAGCAAGTCAGGATAGTTTCCCTGTGGCCCATCCCTGTGGTCACACCCTGAACTTTCTTCCCTCTCATACTATTGGTTTCTAAGAATAACATTGGCAGTAAGGACAAGAAGACAATAGGAAATCCTAGCAGCAGTGTTTCAGGATAACTCTGTGAGAGTCTCTGCTAGAAGACTTGGAAAGTAAATCAAGGCCATGGAGGGGAAACGTGTGGTTGTTTTCTGGTAAAGGCAATTCAAGGACAGTATTTCCCACAGGAAATGAGAAGACAGGGCATAGACATTTGCACACTTACTTGATACATAGAGAACGATGCCTGCTGCAGGTTCTCCTCCATTCACTTTACAATAGATATTTGTCCCTGTTCGTCTGATGAAAGGAACATTATTCAATTTGAATGCAGATACATTTGAAGTAAGCTGTTCTCCATGGACCTGTTCGCCTTCCAAATGACAGGATACGTTATTCTCATTGCTCTTAAAAACGTAACAAAAGGTGACATTAGCACCTTCTTCCACCAGTTTATCTTTGGGGAAAACGAAGAGTGTATCATGTCCAAGTGTATCATGTACTGCAAGACATGAAAAAAAAAAAAAAAAGCTCACTCAAAATTCAAATCAGTCTCTCCCATCTCACTTCCAGCATCAGCAGGCAACTTTAGCTTCTTTTACCTTCCTGAGAGGAAAAAGAAAAAGCCTAAATTTCTACACCAAACACATAAACTTCAATACATGTCAAAAACAAAACAAAAACTCCTTCCCACCATTGCTCCCATTGTTCCACTAATACCACTGCTGCTGTTGTTACTACCAGGGCTATTGGCTCTATGCTATCAATTCCAACTTGTAGTAACCCTATAAGACAGAGTAGAAGTAGCTTATCAGGATTCCTAGGTCGTAATCTTTATGGACCAGACTACCACAGCTTTCCCCTGTGGAGCAGCACTACTGGTTATTATATACTAATGCTCTGGTTAGGGTAATGGAGCTCTGGTGGCCCAGTGGGTAAGACAGCAGGCTGTTAACCAAAAGGTTGGTAGTTCAAACCCACCAGCCACTCCGTAGGAGAAAGATGCGGTAGTCTGCTTCTGTAAAACCCTATGGTGGTCACTATGAGTTGTAAGCAACTCAATGGCAATGGTTTTTTTTTTTTTTTTTTTTGGTATGGTTAGGGTAAGTAGGTCTGGTGGCACAGTGGTTAAGTGCTTGGTTGCTAACCAAAAGTTTGGGGGTTTTAACTTACCAGCTAGTCCACTGGAGAAAGATGTGGCAGTCTGCTCTCATAAAAAGTACAGCCTTGAAAACCCTATGGGGCAGTTCCACTCTATTCTAGGGCCTAGCTCTATGCTGGTTGGGCAACCCTACTTCCCTAATGATACTGCCTCGGAAACCCAAGGAGGGGTCGCTATGAATCGGGGACGACTCGACGGCACACAACAACAACAACAACAATAGCTCTATGCTAGAATCAACTTGATGGCAATGGACTTGGTTAGGGTCATTACAATAACAGCAGCTGCCTTCTGTTGAGGCCTAGACATGTGGGAGGCCCATGTTTAGTGCTATGCACATTCTCTCATGTCTTCCTTACTACCTCACAACAACAGGACAGGCAGGACTGAGCCCAATTTGCTCAGCTCGTAAGTGGCAAAGCCAGGTCTGCGCAGCCCACTAGCCAAGTGTCCCGCATAACCTCTACATTGTGCCATAGATCACATCTCTTCCCACTTTCTCAGAAACACCAATCACTCAAATACCTTGTGGCTTCAACTTGCTATGAAAATTCTTATGGACTAAAGAAGTGAGTCATCCTTTAAAAAATCAGCAAGATCAATGAGTATATTTTCATTTGTTTTTGGCCAGGTCAGATGAGGCTGACTCAACCTCATCAGAAGACAACTAACTGTTCTTCGTGATACCCAGGGATTCCCATTGTCTCCCAGAAGTTTCTCATTGGCATAATGTTCTGGTTACCTAGTGCCGCTCTCATAAAACTATGCCACAAATGGGATGGCTTTAACAAACAGAAGTTTATTCTCTCATAGTTTGGAAGCTTTAAGTCCGAGTTCACAGTGCCAGGCTCTAGGGGCTGTGTGAAAGCTCCTCGACCTTGGGCTTCAGCTCTGCCTCTTGCTCCTGGCCTAGCAAAGCTAGAGGCATTTCTTCACTCAAGAAGCTACTGGCTGCTGAGGCTAACAAGCCCAAGGTCAACAAATAAAATGGCACAGTCCCAATGTTACCAAACCACATGGCAGGCCATTAATTTAAGTCTATTTTAAGTCCCAAGGTCTGCAGAGCATGGCAGGCTGCTGAACAACAACACGGGTACATGCAGGGTTCAAGCGTGCCATAAGTTAGAGACAATTCCCAAAGCTGCTGCTTAGATATGGGAAGCAGACCACATAACCAAAGGCAGCTACTCAGCCTTTGGAGTTGACTACCAGTCTCATCATGGGGAATACTATATCCAGCTGCCCAGCCATTCAACCAGGCCCAGCCAAGTTGACACAACAACATAACCACCACACTTAACAACATATTTGTTCTCCTCTTTTTAAAGCAAACTCACCAACTACTCCACATTTCCCTCCTGACATACTCTCTACTCTCTCCTTTGCAGTCAACTTCTTGAATGAACTTCCCATACCTGCTATTCAGGTCTCAGGTCTCATCACCTTCTCAAAGTACTGCTGCTGTCTGCTTGGTGGCCACTGCTGGGCCAGTAAAATTGCCATCACCAACCTCAGTCATGGGGTGTGGATTGGACATTTTTTTTTTTTTTAAAGCTCTAGGGTTGATTCTAATGTGCAGTCAAGATGAGAACCTGTGCATAGCAGTTAAAGACTATTCAGATTTTCCACCTCTTCTTAAGTCAGTTTTGAGGTTATATTTTTTAGAAATCTGTCCATTTTATTAAAGTTATGTTTTTTTTCCTCTTATTATCTCTATAATAAGCAGTTCTGGTAGCACAGTGGTTAAGGTAATTGTCTGCTAACCAAAAGGTAGGCAGTTTGAACCCTCCAGCCATTCCACAGGAGAAAAATGAGGTAGTCTACTTCTCTATAGATTTATGTCCTTGGAAACCCTGTGAGGCTCTGCCCTATAGGGTCTGGGAGCTCTGGTAGCATAGTGCCTAAGGCACTTGACTGCTAACCAGAAGGCTGGCAGTTCAAACCCACCAGTGACTCCTTGGAAGGAAGGTTGTGCAATCTACTTCCATATATATATTGCCTCAGAAACCCAAGGAGGCATCACTATGATCAGGTCTGACTCGACAGCATATAACAGCAACAACATAGGGTCACTATAAGGAGCTCTGGCAGTGTAGTGGGAAAGACACTTCACTGCTAACTAGAAGGTCAGCAGTTCAAACCCACCAGCTGCTCTGCAGGAGGCAGATGAGGCTATCTACTTCCATAAAGATTTGCAGCCTTAGAAACATGATGGAGCGGGAATTGACTCAATGGCAGTGTTTTGTTTTGTTTTTAAATCTTTTTCATCTCTATTTTGTCAGTAAGTATGTCCCTCTTTCAGTGGTAAGATGTAGTGGTTAAGAGCATGCCCTTGGAACTAGACTGTCTGGGTTTGAATACCAGCTCCACCAGTTAGAAACTTTGATGATCTTGGTCTCTGTACCTAGTTTCCTCATTTGTGAAACAGGAATGAGAACAATATATATTGCAATACATGGCTGATGTAAGAAACAAATTAATATGTACAATGCTTAAAGGGTCACCAGGTGGTGCACACTTGACTATTAACTTAAAAGTTGGCAGTTCAAACCCACCCAGTGGTACCTTGGGAAGGCTGGCAATCTGCTTCCACTAAGATTACAGCTAAGCAAACCCTATGCAGCAGTTCTAGTCTGACAAATATGAGATCGCCATGAATCAGAATCAAGTCAACAGCGATGAATTTGGTTTTGGTTTTACGGTGATTGCAATAGAATAAGGGCTCTGCAGATTCTAGTATGAGTATTGAACACATCACCAGGCTATTCTTAAGTTAATATGTTGTAAGTTTGAGTTAATAAATATGCATCACTGAGTAACAAAGGAATGGTTCTATTGGCAGGAATTATAGACAACCTGGGGAATAGAGTTGAGACAGACAAAGTCCTTACCTTCACCCCTGCTTTAGTTTAGGCCTATAGCTTAACTGAAGTCCCAGGGGGGTTCAAAAGGGTAATAAACTCAGCTGCTAACCAAAAGATTGGAGGTTCAAATCTACCCAAAGAAAAATCAGAAGAAAGTCATGGGGATGTACTGTCATGGGGATGTAACTCTCAGTTACTGAAGACTCCATAGAGCACAGTTCTCTAACACCCATGGGGTTGCCATGAGTCAGAATCGACTCCACAGCAACTGGTTAGGTTAGATAGCTTAACAGGAGCTTACAAAATTATGACACAACTCACCATACGTTTTAATTACGATAACATTAAAGTATCAAACTATCTTAATTATCCTTAAAATGAATATTTAAAATATATTTGTCCATAATTGCATCACTATAATAAACAGCTGCTTTCATTTTCCATATTCCCTCCTTTTCTCTTGATTGTCATCAGTGTTAGGTGTTGTGGAGTCAATTGGGATTCATAATGACTCCATGTGACAGAGTAGAACTGTCTCCTGGGGTTTCCTAGGCTACGATCTTTATAGGAGTAAATCAGGTCTTTTCCTGAGGAGCCGCTGGGTGGGTTCGAACCACCAACCTTTCAGTTAGCAGGGGAATGCCTACTTGTTGTGTCATCGGGGCTCCTTTTTCTCTAGATTACAGATTGGCAAACAAAGGTCCATGAGCCAATACTGGCCCACAATTTGGTTATGTAAGTAAAGTTTCATTGGAATAGTGCCACAATCATTAATTTACTTATCTTCTATGGCTGCTTTGCACTACACTGGTAGAGGTAAGCAATCATGACAGAGACCATATGGCCTCAAAGCCTAAAATGTTTACTATCTGCATCTTCATAGAAAAAGTTTTCTAACTCCAGTATACATTTTATACTAATCTAATAAAAACTTATCTACAATTCATGTTGGTTTTGTTTACTTAGTATTCTATTATAAACCCATTTTATACATTTGGAAAATACTTAATTTTCTGAATTTGCATAATTATGCCAATAAATAAATTCAGAGGTAAAACCGCAGATATTTATCTCTCAGTGGCAAAATTCAAAACCATACCTGTTAGTTCCACAGGAAAATAATGTCTACATTTACCCAGGATTCCTCAAAAGGAATCTATTGATTTCCCCCAAATAAGATTAAATAATAAAATGTTTCACTTTTTAAACTACTTTACCATCTACTTCCTCCCATGAAGTCCATTTGCTCCAGGACTTTGGCTTGGGGAATGTGGAGTCATCCATCATACTCCTTATTCTTACAAAATGTGTTGCACATTCCAAAGGAAGTTCAGATTCCCAGCTCCAATGCAGAACTTGGTTCCACTTCACAATGGCACTGTAGTTCCCCTGGAAGTAAAGGGAAAAATCTGGAAACATCTAGTCCTGGAAAATAGCTTGACTAATTTTATTATCTCCTTTAGAAGTGAGAATAGCCGGACTTTGTGTGACCTGCTTTGGTCACGTTGTCAGAAGGGATGATCCCCTGGAGAAGGATATGACACTTGGTAAAGTGGAGGGTCAATGCAAAAGAGGAAGGTGCTTAACGAGATGGATTGACACAGTGGCTGCAACGATGGGCTCAGGTATAACAAGGATTGTGAGGCTGGCACAGGACCGGGCAGCATTTCATTCTGTTGTACACAGGGTTGCTATGAGTTGGAGGTGACTCAATGACACCTAACAACATAACAACAAATCTTATTATCAAAGCATAAACCTGAGAGACCACGTAACTTCACAATTTTGTGAGTGCTGTCTATTCTTAACTGGCCATCTCCCAGGGAGCCAGCCATAGCCTTTTGCCTTTAGAAAATTGTGCTCCCAACTCTTTCTTGTTGTTATTCATTGTCATCAAGTTGGCTCATAACAACCTGTGTAAAACAAGGCAAAATGTAGCTGGTCCTGTGCCATCTTCATGACAGCTTGTTGGTATGTTCGAGTCCATTGCTGCAGCTACACTGCATTTTGAATGCACTCCAACCTGGGGGCCTCATCTTCCAGGACTGTAATCAGACAATATTCTTTTGTGATCTGTGGGGTTTTCCTTGGCTTATTTTCAGACATAGACTTCCAGGTCTTTCTTCCTAGTCTTTCTCAGTCTTAGAAGCTCTGCTGAAACCTGTCCATCCTGGGTGACCTTGCTGGTATTTGAAATACTGATAACATAGCTTCCAGCATCACAGCACCCTGAAAGCCACTAATGTATGATAAACTGACACATGGGTTGTGGTCCCGATTCCTATGTCCCTCCAATTCTTATGGCCCTTGAACTCCACCGGGCTCATGTGGAGAAAGTGTTAGAGAAAACAGGAGGTACACAAATCTTAGAGAAAGAGATCAGAGATAGAAAATGTTTGGTTCCCTACAGAGACTTTCACAGTGCTAGTCAGACAGAACCTGCTACAGAATTATTACAAACTACAAAACTGAGTCATCCCTTAAAAATCGAGCACAGTTAGTGGGTATTTTTATACTTATTTGTAGTCAGGGTCAGATCAGATTGGCTCAGTCCCAGCAGAAGTGGGATGTCCTTCATGGCACCTGAGTTTCACTGTCTCCCAAGAGTCGAGTGTCTTCCAGCATTCCTGTCCCCCCTGGTTTGCTGTCTCTTGTCTTCTCAGATTCAGTGGTCCCATGGACCAAACCACTCCCTTGAGCTCCATCTGTCAGAATCTCTAGCTCCCAGGGAAGTTGAAGACATCAAATACCTTGCATGCAAATACCTTGCATTGCCTGGGGAAAACTAAGCCCCCATCCAGCTTTCTAAGGGTTAATGATAACTGCTATACTGATAAGGATGGGCACCACACAGGCCACATACAACCTGGAGTGAGCCATCTTCACAGCCTTCCTGCTACCTCTACCTGTCCTGTTTCCAGGTTGCTAACCTTAACAAGGATTCCTGGTGGCACAGTTGTTAAGTGTTCAGCTGCGAATGGGAAGAAATGCCAACTGTTTGAACTCTCTAGCTGCTCCATGGAAGAAAGGAGTGGCAACCTGCTTATGTAAAGATTAACCAAAAACCAAACTCACTGCTGTCACATCAGTTCTGACTCATAGCAACCCCTCCTTGGGTTTCCAAGGCTGTATCACTACGGAAGTAGATTGCCCAACCTTCCTTCTGAGGAGTAGCGGGTGGTTTGAACTGCCAGCCTTCTGGTTAGCAGTCAAATGCCTTAGGCACTATGCCACCAAAATCCTATGGGGCAGTGCTATTATATCCTATAGAGTTACTGTGAGTTGGAAACTATCTGACAGCACACAACCACCTTAAGCAGCACATGACAGGTCTGGAATGAGAACACCCTAGCCCACATGATTAGGAGCAGGCATTTAATTGTGCATACCCTTCCTCACTGTATGCAGAACTGGGATTTTAAAAACATTTTTATGTTTCATGAAATAGACCAGGTTCACTGCTCTGGTAGCATAGTGCCTAAGGCACTTGACCGCTAACCAGAAGGCTGGCCGTTCAAACCCATCAGCCACTCCTCGGAAGGGAGGTCAGGCAATCTACTTCCATAGTGATATCACCTCAGAAATCCAAGGAGGGGTCACTATGAGACGGGGCCGACTTGATGGCACATAACAACAACAACAACACTGGTCTGATAGAGACAGGTGAAACCCCCAAGACTATAACTCTTAGTAACCCTTTAGGCCTGGAATTCAAATCATTTCTGTGCCTTAACCTTCAGCCAAACAATAGACAGTCATATAAGGTGAATGTTTATACCAAGGAGATACACTCCCTGGAACAATCAACCAAAGGAGATCAGAAGGGCAGCATTTACACAGGGAGATAGCTCAGAAGGCAGGGATGCATAGAAAAGAAGGACACAGGGAAAATAACAGCAGCAGATCAATTCCAAGATTGTGGAATAGGCAGAAAGTCTGCACAGACCCTCTTCAACAAAGAAAAGGGGAACAAATTAACACAGACACAGAAGATAATCCTGGACCCCTGAGTCTTGAAGGGAAGGATTTAGAAGTGGACTAAACCCCAACTAGCAGAAGAATTTGCATGAAAATACCAAAAAAGGAGACATATGGACCTGTGGTCTGGCAGCGATCCTGATGGCACAGACAGCTTGGAGATTTCCGAGTGGTGGTAGGACCTAAGAATTAACCTAGAAATCAGCCCTGCTAGCCAGGGACTGCACGGAGGACTGCTCTGGTTGCTGTGGAATAAAAGGGGAAGGAGTGATGAAGAGGAAGATGAGCTGAGCTGTGGACTTCTGCCTGTCAGGAAGGCGCCGCCATTTTGAATGTTTATAAACGGCATGACAATTTTGGATATTTAAAGAGACAATGTGAGATTCCAGGGGCTTAAAAAGAGGTTCTGCTTGCCAGTGACCCAAAGAACACTCTAGACCTGCATGACTGAAAAGGTGCGACACTCCTCTTGTTACTCTTATACCTGACCCCCACTTGGTGAATGGAGGTGTGGCCATCCCCCACTTCCACCCACCTTCTGGGCCTGCAGGAACTCCATCCCAGTCTGTGTTTTCGGACAAAGCCTGGGTGCCCTGCCTTGTCTTCTGCCAATATTTTTCTTTTTTTTCATATTCTCTTTCTTTTTTCTGGTGTTTAGTTTGCTTGTCTGTTTTAAAACTACTACTATTATTAATACTTTTGTCTTTTTTACTATTATTCTTTATTCTTCCCTTCCCAAGTCCTAGTTTACACTTTTTTTTCTTTTCCCTCTTCCTGGTTAAATTTTAATTTTTTAATTTAAATTATTTTTTCCCCCTTTTTTTCTCATGGTTAAGCCATTCCTTTTTTTTTCCCTGGCATTTTTCCCATTTTTTTCTTCATTATTCTCCTTCTCTACCTTTTTTCTCTTAGTGCCCTATCCCCAGATATTGCAGGTTTTCTTGTTTTTTTCTTCTTTTCTCCATTTTTTGGTTACTGCTCCTGTGTGATTACATGGTGTATTTTTCATCCATGGGCTTTTAGTTTTTTGATGGCTATTCAATTGTAATTTGTGTCTAACTGAGTCAGAGACAGCAACAGTCCCCATAAGACACAACTACACCCACACCTCTTGCAACTTCACTTACTAAGCAAGAGTCACTTCCTTCTTCTCCACAAACAGGCCAATGATAAAAAACCAACAAGAAGAGCCTGAATCACACTTGGATGCCCTTCACAAATAGTTAACAGAGATTTAAATACAACACCATGATGTCTCGGAGACAACAGACCATCACAGTCCACACAAAGAAGCAAGATAAAGTGGTAGAAACAAGGGAGCAGGATACAGACCCAAAACACATCCCTGAGGAAGAAGCAGCATTGGAACTCTCTGATAAGGAATTCAAAAGAATATATTTAGGTATCTTCAAGGATTGAGA